TAACTGCCTTATCCAACACAGAATTGCAGGGAAGCCAGAGGCTATCCTAGCAAGAAATGGAATCAACGCAAGATACACGCTGCATTGCAGTCCATTGCAGGACACACACACATTCACACCAAGGCCAGTTTTTCCAGAAGCCATTGAACCTACCAGTATGTTTTTGGATTGTGGGAGGAAACTGGAGCACCTGGAGGAAAACCACATGAACACTAGGAGAACCTACAAACTCCACACAGATAGCACCCCAGGAACTGGCTCCAGTGCAGTGAGGCAGCAATGCTCACCACTGCGATAGTGTGCTGTCCACATATACTGTAAAAATTAGCTCATCAAAAGTATAATTCGGTTAAGTCCACCTCTTTGCCTTTCGTTTCAAAAGGCCAAAAATACTGCTCAATAGGAAGACAGTGTAAAGGAACAAAAACAAGTTGAACTTGACAAGTCTTATGTCAAATTCACTTTTTGACTGAATTCCCAATCAGAGTTTATTTATTGAGACTGGAAACAGTATCTTGTCGGTAAGATGAAACACTACCATTACTACCCTGACTATGTTTAATGTTCTCATTTTGCAATATCATAATATTTTGCAATATCTGGAATGCTGTAATTCAACAGGTGCAATGTGTGTTATCTTTCCCTGAAGTAAAAAGCAAACCATTCCAAAAATCATAGAGTAGCGTGTGTTTGCAATGCTTCGCAATTACTATACACATCTTGTAAATAGAGCAAATAGCACTCTGAACATACAATATCAATGAAAAGAGAGAAAAAATTAAAAAGGATGACATGGCATTAACACATTGACATTGTATTAACTTACATGTATAATACTACTGTATGTTAATAGAATGAAGCTGAACCATATGATAAAAACCTCATCAGCTTGTGAAGGATGGGAAAAAAATGATAAAGTTGAAAATTTAACAAATATGAACGCCTTCAGTACAGTGTAGTCTAGCAGACATCTTATTTATTGAATGACATACTATTTTTTTTATTTCCACACCCACTTGTCAAAAGGGTGGAAATAACATTGTATTATCTGTTTATCTACCAGTAAGCAATTGTCTTTCCTGTAAGAAGTGCTCTTTAACTGTAAAAGCTTTTTTATTTACTGTAACTTATCATTTTAACTTTTTTTCTCCTGCTTTAAAAGCTTTAGAATATATATGTGATAGACTTTTCTAGACTGCCTGTTTAAGTTACTCCAATCATTAACTGCAGAAAATGCAATTGTCTGTATGATATCAGATAATCATCAGCAAAGCACTCCTAATTTTTAGGAAATCCGTATGCCTTTAACAGCATTGATTCATGTACAACCACATAACCAAATTGTGTATTAGTAGAACAGTAATGGTGTCTTTATTTTTCCCTTTGGTTTATAAATTCACATTTGGATCCCTTTGGCTAATCAGAGAAGTACAGTACGCTCGCAAAAGGAAAATTTGCTTGTGATAAAAAAACGTAATAAAAACAACAAAAAACTTGTCACCTTTTTCTTCAGATGTAACCTGGTTAAATTAATTTCTCAACATTTCGATAATCCATATTACTTCTTTACACTACACTCCAATTATGAACAGCCACAATTTATGATCAACATTTAATTAGAGCAATTATCCCATTTTCCCACATTTCTTCGATGTCCACTGGTGTGAATGCCACTAGCCTCACACCCACCCTGTTGCACCAGACCAAGCTGCCAGACTCTCCTGTGTTCCTGATCCAAGACTTGACTATGCTGTGGAATATTCTTGTGGAGGCAGCTCATTTGGCATTTGCCATATCTGAGCAATATTCTTTAATAACTGATTGTAATCTCAGGTCATGAACCTGAGTTGAAAAGAATATGGGTTCAAACTGATCTTTAAAAAACAATTATGTTCAATATATTTAAATGGAGAATGTGTTGAGGAGGGAAGACATGCCCCATGTGGTACAAACTCAAGAAGGGCCATTCTCGGACTGCACCACAGAGAAGAAAGAACTCAAGAGGTCTCCCCCCTCTAGTTCTATAAAACAATGAACAGCAACACAGCACACATACCGACCAATGATTCAGTCCAGTTAACAGTCACCGCTGTTTTCAAATTATTAAGTTACGCACCACATACTCTTTGTTCTGACCCTATACTGTATACTCTTGTGGCGAAATGATGGCAATTGCTAATCGAATTCACGTCTGTTTCCGACATGGCATCTGTAGATGATCGATGTAGATGATAGGGCGGGAGATCTAATGTTTCTCTCCTTAATTCATTCTTGCCTCATTCCCAAAATCGGCAATCTCTTAACTTGATGATGAAATCGCTTTGTTTAAAAATATATATATATAAGCTACCATTTCAAAGAGAAGGGAGGAGAACAGGGTTTGTCCTTGGCTGGAAACGCAGGAGCCAGTAGAAAGACAAAGTTTAGTTCGGTTCATCATTAGGGCATCAGTCTTCATCAACTGAGAAAGGGACACGTGGAAACATTTGTTCTTTTCTAGCATAAGTAACACAAAGGCCTTTGTTAATTGTGCTCCAGATTCTGGGGTGGGCCCTGTGCCAGCTCTGATCCCATGATTCTCTTTGTACTCAGCTGCCTGGATTTTCCACCCTGCGACGTATCTAAACACAAGGGGAGCTTCCATTGATTGCTTCGGCATAAACTCTTCACCTTCTCCCCAAGAACACGGCACAAGCCCTGGAAACTGGGACAGGTGGATTAAAAAAATGACACTGTGCGCATCGCATCTCCAGGAGAACAGAAAGGAAGAGGGGGGGGGTCATGAAAAACAACTTTGCATTGGTAACTACTGATCAAAGTAATTCTCCAATGAGACGTTTTTTAATGAGAGAGTTGTGAAAAAAGTGGATTAGTCTCATTCTTCATTCCTATGGAGGATGTGGAATTATATTTGGTATCACAACGGATTTGAAGTGTACATTCTGTATCTTTTAACATCTTCACTGTAAAGCAGTGTAAGACCAGGTTAATTAAACCTCAGGGAAAGGCCTGCATTTGAATATGTCACATAAATAGTAAAGTGTCAGTAGAAATGGCACGAGCGGAAAACATGTTGACTATGCAGTCTGCCGAACTTCAAAAAAAAAAATGAATCCATATGCATTGCATAACTTTTTCCTCCCTCTGTGAAATTACTCCTGAGTTATTAATGTTTGTCATTAGGAGCATTATGCTTTAGGACAGTGACTCGAAACTGCAAATTTAAATGGGACAAATATTGACAATAGCCCACTCCTGGGTATTCCAAGAAGAAAAGATGCAAACTATGTTAATTAATGGTAATTAACCACCAGGGTTTCCTTATCCTGGATCCTAGATAAATTGGTCCCTGTGTTGCTGGAGACACAGTCCTGTGCTAATCCTTTATTATAAAAAGATAAAGGAAAACGACATCATTAGCATAAATTTGATGAGATAAAAAGTTGAATTATTCTTGTTAATTCCTGAATGGATAATTGTACATAAGGTTATTTAAAAAAAGAAAAAAAATGAAAAGAATGTAGAAAAAGAAATGAATACAGAATAAAAAAATCTGAAAAATAAAGGATTTTTTCAAAGGAAAAAACCCAGAGGGTAACAACTGAAAACCCCCCGTTAGTAAGAGCAGCAAGGTCAGCACAGTTTCTGGGCTTTGACACAAACAATGAGACACTTTATATTTGATTTACTGTAGTAATTCCAAATACAGTTGATATACATAATTATCGATATAAGATAACTCTTACCTTTACGCAATGCTTCCAAATTCACTGTCGCCAGAATTAATCGGTTGTGTTAACAGAAGATTAAACTAGCTTTAGAGCTGCTCTTGACTTTCTATTTAAGCAGAATGTCTCATTCTACAAATGCGGCTCTCTGGAGTTAGGAATGGCTTCAGATTTGAAGAGTGTGTAAGTAGTGTGAAATACTCAGTACGTTCTCATCACGTCCTTGTGATTTTACAGGGAACAGCAGCCACAGAGATCAAACAATCTGGATTCTTAGTGACTTACATTCAGCACAATAAGAAACATGCCAATCAATAACTAATCATACTGAAATACTTAAGTAGTAGCAGAGAAACTGCAAGAAATAAAACACCAACTGAGGCTTGAAAAGCCTAAGCTCTTGAACCTCTTGGAAATGATGTACAAATGTAATGCTCCTGTAACTACGATTATAATGGCTAACGTATTTTTGACAACCAAAAAACAGAAATTAAAGTGCAAAGTACTTTTCTATTTGTACTCAAATTCATGGCCTGATGGGGGACTGCTACAGAAAGTGATTTTTATGCAATTGCATAGATTAAAGTCATTTCAATTGCAAAATAGCAGAAATTGTATGTTAGAAGGTTTTCTGATGTGGAAAGTATACTATTCTATATTAAGTATAATATTGTGTCTCCAAATGTAAAGAAAAATATACTCTATAGCATCGGTAGGTACTGGATGGGTAGGAGGAAAAGACGTTTGGCAAAAAAGCTACCATCAAGTACTACGGTCTATAATCAAACACTGGGGAACAGGCAGAATGCAGGTAATAGGCCTGTTTCATGTCTGCTGTCTCACCTCTTCCTCCCCTTGATCCCAGCTTCTTATAGTCACTAGGCATCATTTTTTTAAATCCAACCCATTCGTCTCCACTCCTTATCTGGTACCTGCTTATCATGTATTTACAGAACTAAACAATGTGACTTTCCATCTTAATTTCTCTTACCTCTCAATGCATTTTACAAGTCACGGTAGTCTTGGTTACCCTGTTGAGTTTCTTGTACTGTTTAATGAGTGGTTTATAGAATGAATAGATTGCAATTATACAGCACACACAAATCAGCTCAATTTATACAGCTAAATTTCAATAGGAGAGAAAACAGTGACATTACACTATCACATTAATGTTTTAATTTCTATTTCATTATTAACCAAAGTCAATTTCATGTACAGTATACAGTATAACACAAATGGCCTTCACGGCATACAACGGAAGCACCAAGAATGTAATTTTTACAAGCAGAAAAAAGCTTTTATTGCTTCAGTGCTTGAAGAATGCAGTGAGCTGTATGAACAACGTTATCTGTAAGCAAAGAAGGTATGATGAACTTCAGTTCTTTTCAGTAATTAAGTCAAAGGGCACAAATGACATCAACAGAGGAATAAACGTAAGTGTTGTTACTAGAGAAACAGATAACAAATCCCAAAGAAGCAATTCTGCATATGACACTGGGGGGCATTCTGAAAGGCATAATAATGCCTGCAATGTCAACACCACCCTTGTCCTCATGGGTAAGAGTCAGCCTTGTCAAGCTGTTTGAAAAATTTAAATCTCAAAAAACAAAAAAGGAATAAGCTTCTGCTTTATTACCTGAGGTTCACATTGTATAAAAAAGTCAGTAAATTAATAAATGGCTAAAGGGTATTAGAGCTCAGAATAGCTGATGTATTAGATGCATATTTACAAAACATGCCTCTAGGTCTCCAGTGAACTGTTGAATGAATGCAAGTGCTAATTTTGTCAGCTTCCCACCCATTAAAGCAACAGGTCATTATTAAGAATGTTGTGCTTTTGTACAAATATTGATGCACCACAAGCTGTAAAATAAAAACCTACACTTGAGTGAAAATGATTCGTGGCACAATAAAACACTTGAAATGGATGACAGATTTTAGTGGAACACAAAGCAGCCTGGAGTCAGGCTTTTTCGCTGACTTCTTTGAGTGATGCCAGTTCTTCTGTCAGCATTTTCTTTTCCTTCATCTTTGCAAGCACGGCCTCCATTAAAAGTGTTGCAAGAGGAATCTGCGAAAGAAACAAAACAATCAAAAAACATGTTCTGGGTTTGACATGTCGCTGCTCTTCTTTGTTTGTGGAGATCAGTTTATAACATGAAACTGAAGAAAACAATAAAAGAACTAAGTATTGGAGAGCCTGTACAGTAAATCAATCTAAGAGTACCAGGTAGTAATGTTGCTATGGAGTACTGAGGTAGTACTGCATGAAGATATGAAGAATGCTAGTAGCATAGAAACAATATTAAACACATTAATGCCCATTTAGAGCTTAGCATGAGTATCAAAGGATCTTGTGCTAAACAATAGATCACATCTTCTTAACAGGATTCAATTACCACCCAAAAATTTGCAAAGCACTGTAGCAGTTTGGTGTGTATATTATCATCACATTTCAATTAGCAGGGGCCCTGGATAAGATCTGCCCATTTTGCTGTGGATTGGTTATACAGTACTATGTTTAACCTACATTGCTGTACTGTAAATGACTAATGCTAGTTATATTTGTTTACTCAAGAGCACAGGTGTATAATAAAGTAATATTTGTTTTAAATATGACACTTATTAAGTTTGGACAAAACGGGCTAAACAGTTTTTGAAGAGCAGCAGTTAAAATGTTACACTGAGATTTGATTGGTTAGGAAATGAGAAGTTTGTGGTATGAACCTCATCTTGTTGATAACCAGGTATAGACATGAGACCGGCAGCAGAAATGTTAGAAGTGCAAATCTATATTGAAAGGAGAACAAAATGGCAATGGGATGGTTATCTGGATTTCTGCACTGGCCACTCTAGGAAGTAGTCCAGCATCTTGCCTGTATTTTCTGGACAGGATGCAGATAGCGGCAATGCTTACCAGGATTAAACAGTTCTCGATTGAATACACGATTTAACTTGATGATTTCTTCAATTATAATTTAAAGCCGCATGAACAGAAAACTAGACATTGTTCTACTAAGACAGCTATCTGTACGAACATTTGGAGGAACAGAGACAAACTTAAAGACATGTTTTTTAAGTGTTAATGTGCAATAGATCAAATACAACACAACCCCCTCCCACTTTGTATGAAACTACTTTTTGTATATCAGGATTTATATATTCAATATTAAGCATTTATTTAATTTTATGGAATACTTTGGCACGTATGATTGTGTGAGTATGCTTTTCCATCTTAAATAGTGTTAATCTTTGTGTTTTTTTACACACACCCTTACACAGCTGTTTAATATTCTTTAATTAAACTTTACAGAGTGACTATTTGAGAGCTCTGTTTTTATAGTTTTTATAGTTTAACTGGGTACAATACACTTTGAAAAAAAGCTGAGTATACAGCTAATAATTATACTATACTGAAACAGTCAGAAACAAGCAACAGCTAAATATATATCCATCTGCTCCTCGGTTTTTGTATTTAATAAATCCATTCCAATTCCCTGGATTGGCATCAAGAGGGACGATAATCATGACACTATGTTAAAAAGCATTGTACTGCAACTTCAAAACATCATAATTATTCATTCAAAACACTATTCTACTTCATGCAGCTTGTAATATTCTGAAGTAATTCCAAAACACATTAAGGAGTAAGAGCATTAAGTCACCAAATCAAAGACATTTTTGTACTTCTTCATTTCCTTTTTCTTTGATTACATTTCTTATTAACACACTGACACTCAAAAAGCTGAAATTAATTTAATTGGACATCCAACTTTTGGGTTATTTCAAGTATTTGAGAAAAGGTACTAGTATAAAAACATAAAGTATATTATTACATTATAGTAAATGTATTATAAATACATACATTATACTGTATATACTGTTGTAAATTCTTATCCATTTATCTATTATCAGAAAACTGCTTATTACAATTAAGAATCACAGTAACCAAGAGCCTATCCTTTTATCACAGGGATCAAGTTGGGATTACAACCTGTACATGGTGCCAGTCTATAGCAGGGTGCATTCACATGCACAAGCACACATAAAACATTCATTTGATTTAAAAATATATATTTCTGAGGTAAAACATTACTGTGTTTGTTTTCTGTGTGGATGAAAGGGTATATTTAACAAAGCATGTTCCAATAACTTATTTTAACATGTAGGCCAACAACCAGAATGAACCAGAATATGTCGATATACTATTTTATTCTGCATAATTATTGCATTCAATTATGTAGGCTTAATTCAGAGCAGCCACACCTGAAAAAAAAAGAATAATAAATATCCTATCATTCAAACTTCCCAATATCTAGCACCTGTGACTATCCTGTTGAACTGCCAGATCATTTGATAGGCTGCTGGTTTTTACAGCTGTAATCCATTTATAATGCAGAATTGCAACTTTGCCAGACACTACAGGAGTCTTTCCTCAGCCTTCTTTAAAATTTCAGCATCCTGTGTTTGGTATATCTAAAGGGTTCCACAAGATATTTGAGCAAATACAAGTCAAACAGCAGCAGATATACAGTATAGGTATAACAGTCACAAACTGGTGATGCTAACACAAACTTATCAACTCAGCCATTAATTACACTGCAACTGTAAGGGATTAGCGGTGTAGTGGCTAAAAGCAAGTTTATTTTCCCCCACGTCCAGGGTTCGAACCTCATCAGCCTTTCTTAAGAAAAATGTTATTGCAGAGAAATATACATATCCACCTTATCAAACAAAATGTCCTTTAAAGTCTCTATGAAACACTTAATCTGTTAAAATATAGATCTATATTTAAAATAGACTATTCTATGAAAATGCCTAAAAGCCCACTTGGGAAATCTAGCTGGAATTGTTTGCTGTAGTTCATATTTCTTTCACTGTACCCTGGTAAGTCTTCAAACAGAGAAGTACTGGAGCCTTTATAATTCCTCAAAGAAATGTATTTCTCAAAAAAGGATAAAACAAGATTTCAGAAACCACATACCTGTAATCTGGTATAACTACTTATGATAACTGACAATTGTTTGGCTGTAGAAATCTACAATATTAACATAAGTATCAGTTTCAGGTAACACAATTACTGTACTACACCAAGCACTTTCAAATTGAATAAACACACAAGTTAGTACTTGGAAAATATTTAAACAAATTTGAATGGCCAGCTACTTTTTCTTTTTTGATAATCCCACTCGAAATCACCAATTGCTCATTGGTTTGACCAGCAACAGCGACCCCGTGAGAATGCAAGATCACACCAATCTTCTCATTTAAGATGGGCCTTTTCTTGCTTAGTGCATCAACTGTGCGTACTGTATATTCACATTTTCTTCTGAAGCCAAAGATGGTCAAAACCACCACAGAAAACGGCGAATCTAGTAATATGTTATAATGAAGTGAATGTTCTTTTGAGATACTGCGAGCTTCCCTGAAATCACTTTTGATTTTCATTTTATTAAATGTTTATACAGCTTGTTATGGGGACAGTGACTCAGCTGGTTAGAGCATGGGGCTGATTAAACATTTAATAGGGAATCTTACTCCCAGTAGAAATAAACGGGGGAAAAAGCTAATGTCAATAATAAAGGCCAGCTTACAGTACTGTATGTGCTGCTTCAAACTGCTTTCTCATTGTTAATGATGGAAAAGAAACATATTGACATTTTTGTTGAATTTCCCTTTCTCCTTCTCTTCAGTACAGATTTATGGCCTTTTACTAGAACACTTGAGATACTTGACTTTTGAGTGTTGTTTTTAGTTGAAGTGCAACACCATTTTGGACAATTTTGTTGTACTGTCTAACATTGTCTGTTTTAAATTAGTTACTCCTTACAGGGTTACTGCAAATCCTGCAAACATGATTACACAGCAAAATTTAAACTGCAAGTTCTTTTAACATATTATGAACTCCACTGTAAGGTGAACAAATATTTTTAAAATAGTGGATTCCAAGAACTGACTAGTTGTAATGCACTGTGGTAGTGGCATTATTAAATTTAACCAAGCCATAAACCTGAATATCTTCGGCTTTGTTTCTTACTTACATAGCAACATTTACTCTGAATTCCAACATTACAATTGCACAATGTAATTCTATATGCAATTTTATTTTTGCTTTCATTGTGCAATTCAAAAATTGCTTTCATTGTGCAAAAACACCTGTAAGTGTCAACAGATCCTGAAGTGTCTTTGGACCAAATTCTAGTTTATGTGATGAGCAGTATGAATTAAGGCGTCCACCAGGCCACATCAAAACTTATTGGCTGTTTTCTCTCTCCTTCTCCATCTCCCTTTCATGCATGTTTTGAGAGTTCTAGTTAGTGACACTGAAGGAGCCAATGGCACTAGGTGATTTCAAAAGAAACTGTCTCTGCTGGTACTGTAATTATTTACCTGTCAGCATTAACATTCACTGGCTATTTAATAAATCAGGTTCAAAGAGGCCTTGGTGGATTTATTTATTTTGTTTCTGTGTACTTCATGTTGAATATAATTTTGTGTTGTTAATATACTGGGCACAAATTCTAAATTAAAATAATGAATTTTCCAACTTCTGAACCAAAAGCACAGGCCAATAAAATAATTACAGTACATCCGACATCATCAAAAATGAAAGAAAATGAAAAGCTGATGAGAGGACAAGATTACCATCTTATTGAGCGCTTCATGGATTACTGATCATGTTAATTATGTAATATGCAATAGGAGCAAGACTGTCATTCATCTTCAATGAGCTGATCAATAGGAGAGGTTATACTTATCTTCAGGGCATTTCCCCTCCAGCACCACAGCATTGCTCCTGTGAATCACACCTACGAGACTCTGCTTAGGCTTGCTAGTCCAAGCGGAAACACAGTGGCATGTCTCGTTCATGTCTCGTTCATTAAAGGAACAACTCCCTCTCGGGGAGTTCAATGCTGCATCATTTAGTAAGGTGTCTGGTGTAAAGCAGTCCCTCTCCTGAATACATCAACAGCAAAATATAAAATGAGCACAGAATTCTGTAAATAGGCATAAAAAACACAGTGATATGTGTTTTTGCAAATGGTACAAAATTCACGTTGTAGGAAGAGA